CTTGGCAGCCCCTCCCGCGACGTGCCCCCTTCCCCCTCCCTCCTCCGCAGCCGGGAGCTCATTAATGCCCATTTATATGCTCGTTTCACACATGAAGGTATCACGTTAATGAGCTCGGAGAGCGGGTGGGGAGGCGCTCGCCCACCTATTAGCCCGAAAATACCTGTTTTCGACCCAAGATTTAACCCAGAGCCATATCTCGGGCTGGGGGGTGTGGGGGGGAATATGCATGTCGGGTCCTGCAGCATCACCGGGGATGCGGGAGTCGGTACCGGGAAGGGTGGAGGGGGGGGGGGATATTCCTTGCAGCGCCGCGCACCGGGGATGCGGGGGACGGGAGCATCCCCGGGGACCGGGAACATCCCGGGGGTGCGGAGACCGGGAGCATCCCGGGGACTGGAAGCATCCCGGGGGTGCGGGGACCGGGATCATCTCGAGGACCGGGACCGGGAGCATCCCGGGGGTGCGGGGACCGGGAGCATCTCGGGGGTGCGGGAACCGGGAGCATCCCGGGGACCGGGACCGGGAACATCTCGAGGGTGCGGGGGACGAGAGCATCCCGGGGACCGGGAGCATCCCGGGGGTGCGGGAACCGGGAGCATCCCGGCGACCGGGAGCATCCTGGGGGTGCGGGAACGGGGATCATCTCGGGGACCGGGAGTATCCCGGGGGTGCTGGAACCGGGAGCATCCGGGGGGTGCGGGGGACAGGAGCTTCCCGGGGACCGGGAGCATCCCGGGGACCGGGACCAGGAGCATCCCGGGGGTGCGAAGACCGGGATCATCTCGGGTACCGGGACCGGGAGCATCCCGGGGGTGCTGGAACTGGGATCATCTCGGGGACCGGGACCGGAAGCATCCCGGGGACCGGGACCGGGAACATCCCGGGGGTGCGGAGGACAGGAGCATCCCGGGGACCGGGACCGGGAGCATCCCGGGGGTGCGGGAACCGGGAGCATCCTAGGGGTGCGGGGGACGAGAGCATCCCGGGGACCGGGACCGGGACCAGGAGCATCCCGGGTGTACGGGAACCGGGAGTATCTCGAGGACGGGGACCGGGAGCGCACTCGACGGGGAGGGGGAGTTCTTCTCCTTGCCCATCCCGGCGATGCCCGTCCCGGTGTTGCCGCGGTGTGAGCCGTCCCCGGGAGTTCCGCAGCGCGGCCCTGCCGTTAATTAGTTTCTGGGACTCTCATTAGCCGTTCCGCGGCCTGGGCCGCCACCGCGTGGGCGCAGTCGGTACTGCAGCCCCCCCACCCGTCGGGGGTAGATCCGCTCCGATACACCGTGCTCCGCTCTGACACCCCCCGGGAGCCCCGCGGGGATGCTCTGGACCCGGGACCGGCTCCTCTCGCACGGCTGAGTCCTCCCAGCGCTTTGGGGGCCGTGTCTGCCCCACAGCTCCCCGCACCGAGGGGCACCCCCCTCTCCCAGCTGGGGTCGGGGGGCTCCAGAGGTGCCTCCCCAGCCTGAACCCCCCCTCTGAGTCTCCCATCAAACCTGGTGGGTTTTTAATTAAGCGTTTTATTAAGCATCACCCTCTCTCGGCAGTTCAATGTGGTTTATTCCCCTGGGAATAACCCGGGGTGGGGCAGTGAGTGCCTGACCCCGGGATCAGCTGTGTGGGGGCGGGAGCAGCGTCCCCCCCATCACCTGTGGGTGATTGGAGATGGGCCTGACCCACAGCTGGGGGCAGGTGGCCACGGTTGGCTGGGCTGAAGGTTATAAAACCCTCGGGGTGGAATCTCTGCTGGCTTTCTTGGGCTCTCCTCATCTTGTAGAGCATCAGGTGAAGCTCTTGTGGCTTCTTCCCTTGTGAGCTGCAGAAGGCGTCTGTGATACATGACCCTGAGCAGGAGCAGCAGGGCTGGGGTTGCTGGTGGCATCTCTCGAGCAGGTAAGCCTGGGAGAAGGGGGATCACCTTGCTGGAACGTGGAAGGGACGTGTAGGTGAGGGAGGTGGTAGGAAAGAGATGAATCTAAAGGTAGAGCCAAGCTCTGCGAGTGGAGAGCTGGCTGGCTTGTGGCAATGAAATGGTTGGGCCTTTTTGGAGCTTGTAGAGGAGCAGCTGGGCCTTTTTCCTCACAGATTCCTTTGTGCTTCTCCAAGTGGGTCATTGCTGGTACCTCATGGGCTGGAGGTGACACAGAGTGACCCTGTGGAGACCCACGGATCATAGACTCATAGAATGGTTGGAGTTGGAAGAGACCCTAAAGACCATCGAGTTCCAACCCCCTGCCCTGGGCAGGGACACCTCCCACCACACCAGGTTGCTCCAAGCCCCCTCCAACCTGGCCTTGAACTTGGTCTGGGTGACCAAGGGGCTTGTAACGGGGCTCTGGGGCACGGTGTGTTCCCAGGTCCTTGGTCTGGGACTCATAACTGGGCTCTGGGGCACGGTGTGTTCCCAGGTCCCATTTCATTTGTTTCTCTTGGCCCACGAGTTCCTCCTGCCTCCGTGGATCTCACCTGCCCGGCCACACCGTGCGTGGCGGCGGTGCCCATCAAGGCGGGTGCAAAAATGAACTTTTCTGTTGTATTAATATTTTTCACACTACTTAACTCTCATTAAAATGTACTTTGCTGAATTTAATATGCGACTTCAAATGACACAACGTATTAAGTGCTTAATATACTAGAAATTATGAAACTATTATAGTCTAAGTAATATGAAATAATTAGAGTGAATTAAACTTCACCAACAGAATGAGGGAAAGGCTTCGATTTTTTTCTTCTGGATTTTTTTTTTTTTTTCCCCAGTCTTAAAATAGTCGAATGCGGTAATAACCCCTGAAAATAAACAGCCAGAGCTAGGATTTTTAAATAATTAAAGCAGGAAAAAGCCTTGGAGTTGTCTGTATTTGAGCCTGTGATGAATTCTGAATCGGGGGAAGCAGAAGGTCTGCTCGCTGTAGCTGATGGAGTTGTTCTTTCAGGCCAGTGGCAGAGCAGCTCCGAGGAGCTGCTCACCAGACCTCCAGCCTGGCCAAGGCTTCTCCCCATATGCTGCTTTCCTCTGGTACACAAAGCTCTTTATTTGGAGGCCAGCAGACGTGATGGTTCCCAGGAATGGAGCCGTGCCTGCTCTGGGTTTCTCTGCCGTGCTGCTTTCTGAGCCCAAAGTCCCCTTTGCTGAGCAGGTCCCCTCTTACCGGGGTGGGAGGGATGGGGTGCAAATTGAGGTGCTGGAGCGGGTCCAGAGAAGGGCGACAAAGCTGGGGAGGGGTCTGGAGCACAAGTCTTATGAAGAGAGGCTGAGGGAGCTGGGGGTGTTCAGCCTGGAGAAGAGGAGGCTGAGGGGAGACCTTATTGCTCTCTCCAACTCCCTGAAAGGAGGGTGTAGAGAGGTGGGGGTCAGTCTCTTCTCTCAAGTCACAGGCGACAGGACGAGAGGAAATGGCCTCAAGTTGCCCCAGGGGAGGTTCAGGCTGGATATTAGGAAAAATTTTTTACATGAAAGGGTTCTCAGCCATTGGGATGGGCTGCCCAGGGAGGTGGTTGAGGCACCATCCCTGGAGGTGTTCAAAAGACGGGTTGATGTAGTGCTGGGAGGTCTGGTTTAGTGATGATGCTCCTTGTTTGTTGTGTGGGTGTCTATTTTTGTCAGTTAGGTTGATGGTTGGACAAGATGATCTTTAAGGTCCCTTCCAACCTAGAAGATTCTGTGATTCTGTGAAAATGGCAGAGACACCCCACTTCTCGTTTTGAGAAGTGCTCTGAGCCGTCGCACGGAAATTGGGGCTGAATTGGAGGTGGTTTTTTGAGAGCAAGGGGGCTGCCCCAGCGCGTGGGTGGACGTGGGGCTGGTAGATGTTCTCCAGCAGCGATGCCAAGTGCCCGACCTGTCGGTTGCCAGGTTTGGGCAGGGTGTGTGCGTGGTGGGGTGGGTGCTGGGGATGGTGTGGGACCTCGGGGTGGGGACCTGTGGGATCCTCATGTCTCTCGGGCTCCAAACCTCCATCCTTGGCCGCGTGGGGAGGGGGGTCAGCTGGATGCGGGGTGTCTCTGCGGTGGTGGCAGCGTGGCCGGACTCGGAGGACGCCAGGAGATGGCGTTCCCAGCGCTGCTCTGCACAGCCCTCCTCGCCGGAATTTGAGCTGAGGTTCTGTGCAACTTCCATGGAAACCTCCCAAAATTATCCCTGGGGAAAGCAAGTCTGAGCCTGAGGGGGGGCAACAGGCAGGGCCGGGCCATGGCCTCTTCGAGAGATGGACCCACAGGGGTGAAGCTCTCCCTCCTGGGGCAGCAGGAGAGCAAACTGTTGGGTGGGCTTTAGGGTGAGGGGTGCTGCTGCTGCTCGACGTGGGATGGTGGCCATCAGTGAGTTCAAAGGTGCTTGCACAATATTCTGCTGGAAGATTTGAGGAGAAGAAAAGGAGCAAGGGGTGGATGTCA